AGAATGTTGCCAATTCTTCTTATTTCAAGTTTTATTCAAATGTAAAGAAATTGCCTATTTTGAATAACTGAAATATACTATCTACTTACAAGCCTACGAAATCAGCTTCCTTTTCCAACTATCTCAGACAATAGATTGTTTTTCAAGCTCCACACGATTTATGTGTATTCAAAGCCGATCAGACCAGTTATAAATAATTTTAATTTCAAAAGTAGGGCGCCTCTCAAGGTTATCTTGCCAGAAATAAATTGGAATCTATCAAAATGCAACACACTGTATTTATCGAAAGTAGTTTCAGAAATTCATATTACATTATAGCTCTGACGTTTAACAACGCGCGATTTGACAGATGGCAACAAAAAGCAGCTAACACCAACATGGCTGAAGAACAATGGCGACAGGATTGTCAAAATGTCAATGACCCCGGAGTTTATGAGTGTTTTATAGATTAAGAATTCAGAACACGAACAATTCTGTTCAACCGTTCAAAATTTGGAACAACTAATATGAATGTATCATTTTAAACACCGTTGTGAAAAATCCTATAATTTATTTTTTGTTAAAGCTGTCATAAAAACGCGGTATTCATGCGTAACACTGGCTGGTCAAAGATTTAGGAGTATTTTATTCTTTCTATTGCCACACTAAACAGTCAGCATAGCGGAGCTTCTTGTTGTTATTATACTCTTTTGATTGATCTGTTCAACGATCGAACGACGAAAACGATCTATAACTTAGAAGAAAATGTGATTATACCAAAAATAAAGTTGTCGATTAAAAGAAAATGATGGAAATAAACAAAACGTTTCAGTAGTAAAATTATTTCGAGCTTCGAATTATTAGCAACTAACATAATTTATTGCTCTCTCACGAGTACCTAACTTGTTAAATTCTTATTACTGTCGGTTATAAAACTGGAATCGTAAAAATTATTAGAACTATTATTTATTAGGTACTTGGGAATTTTATGGAATATTTTCCTATTTCTATAAATCTATGTATTAAAAATACGTTAACTTTAATAAGAGTTGTGAATAAATGTTCGTGCTTTTCCCGGCCCAATTTTCCGGCATTGCGTTGACAGACACAGCCGAGCCACTTGTATAAAAAAAAAACAAAAAAAAAATTGTGACTCCATTTATCTTTGTTGACGGAGAGATACTTTTTTTCCTTAGACAGAACTACCTAGGTTGGTCAGTAAGATACGCATCATAACATACAATATAAACGTTGCCCTTGAAGTTTACTACCCAATTGATAGAACTAGCCGCTACGTATAATGATAACCAAGCTACAATGATACTGAAAAACGTCTATAAAATGTAAAAGCACTAGGAGGTTGTTGGACATAGGAGCAATAGGATGTAAATAAAATAGTAGTTTTAAACAAACTGCTATAATGCCAATTTTTCCAACGACATAAATTTTAACTGAGGAATTACTTTGAATATTTCACAATTCTTCCGTACCTACTAAAAACTGTCAAATGCCAATTTTATTCTACAGTTAGAAATTAACTGATGGTTATCATGAATAATCGGCCCTTAGGATGACAATATAGGTAGAGGTTCGACACTAAAAATTCTATATTGATATTTGTATTATCTAAAATAATTCACGTCCTTTAATCTGTAAAAACATCTTCAAAAACAAACAAACTATTTGTATCTTCAATGCAATCAAGTTAATACTACTAGTTTAATTAGTATTTTTACATCTGAATGCTGTTTCATTACCATACCGTCGCGTGAGAAACGTGCCTGACGAGATTTTATCTAACGATATGTACTTACCTACCTAACATATACATATACATTTGTTTGTATGGAAGATTGTACCATAAATAGCTTCCTACTTTGGACTCGCGATTTATTGCGTTTTCGTACGAGAATCAGTAATAAATAAAATTATTTAGATCAATTAAGTACGTAATGCCATTGTAATGGTAATGTTTGACAGTTAACCAGTATGTGATTATATCAGTCGGATATCAAAATTTTCAGCGCCATTTGGTCAAAACATGCTTTAAACTGTCAAACACCAAGCGGTCACCGGTGACAACCTATTATTCTATAATTGTGTCTACAAAACCGGTACTCGACGAGTTAAGATTGTAAAAAATCAAAGTCAAAAGCATTTATTTCAACTAAACCATATTTTGTTACTTTTGAAACGTCAACAAATACAAAATAAATAATAGTCTATCAGTCAGTCCGTTAGTGAAGCTAGGTGGAGCTAGGTGCTCATTCCAAAATGTAGATTCGAATGGAGAAGAACGAGCAAGAAACTCCATTCGTTACTCTTTTTAGAAAAGTAGGTATGTTATACATGTCTCTGATACAATTACAATCTATAATTGACTTTAGATGAATTATCCTTATTACACATGAGACAAACACCTTTGAAATACAGCATTGTAAACTTAAATCAAAAGTTAGACACAACACTACAAAAAGGCAACAATGAATTATAAAAAAATCATTTTGTATGAAGCTGCTCTGCCTTCTAACATCCATTAATCAATTGCAAGGATATAAATAGACAGGTACATGTCTATGGTCGTTAGTATTCAAGGCGGGAGGCTGTGTTGCATCACCAGCTTGTTTTCACAGAACCTACAACCTCGACAACTCGACTAATGCTTCCGGATTCAACTGACTACCTATACAGACTCCAGCAGATAAACATACTGGCAATATTCTTAATCACATTTTCAGCTTTATTGTTTTGATGTAAAGCTGAAAATACATTGACAAATTGATACTGCTGGTACGCAAAGATGAATATGGGCATTGATTGATTAAGAGCACTCCTATATCTATTGATAAATGTTATTCTTTATGATTAGATTTTTCTTATTTAGTTGTTTGTGATGAATCGTTTTATTTCCTCCGTGGTTTGATATCCTTACTTTAATTATTATAACAGCCTTCGCTGCATCTGTTTGTCTGTTTATTCATAACTAATTAAACAGTTCTAAAATTTTTATGCAGATGGTGTGAGTGACTCTTGGCTTTTGAGGAAGGTTTAAAATTGTGTAAGCAATAAAGATTTCAAGTTTCAAACCATAATGCCACCGAATTTTATTATTTTGTTCAACAATAACTAACAAAATGTAATGAGATCGAGTATCTACCTCGAAACATTGTACCTAATTATAATGGGCCTGTTGTTTCGACATAAGGCCAGAGGGCCAAGCAGGAATAACTATCGCATTCGTATCGTAACAGTATCGAGCGAAGTAAGCGTTCTGATTGGTTGGATCACTCGAGCCGGCCAATCAGAGCGCCGAACGCACTCGATACTATTACGTTACGATTGCGATAGTTATTCGTGCTTGGTACTCAGGCCAGTATTCGATCAACATTCAAATTTCGAAACAGACGCTAATTTGTCCAGCCCCGTTCTGCCTAGACTGGCAAACAGACGATGTCTAGAATACAGATGAGGCCAACCTGCTTTATACACAACCTCCTTTTTCGATGAATCATCCAGGCCTTACAAAATCGGTATATTCCGAAAAAAAAAATTAAGATACGGTTTTTGAAAAGGTTGAATGGACTCGTTTGTTCGGATTTCGAATGAATGTTGGGCTTTCAAAATGCGATTTGTATAGATTTATTTTGTTTTTGCAATTTTCAACTTTGACAATGACAAAATTGGAGACTGTAGAATAAGTTATTGGTAGTGTATTTTAATTTCAAAATTATTTTTACAATATAGTGTTTTAGACTTGAGTAGTTTAGAGTAAAATGCAGAGTTTTATTAGACGTTTCAGCATACAAAATTAAACCAAAAAAACATTATTGTTTGCGAAACGTGTAAGCAATTATCATCTCTTGAACCTTGATTAGACTGATTATAATAGCTTGAACATTTTTTGTGTATTTGCCTAGCACTTAGAGCATGTGGGTGCTAATTAACAAATTCGATTACTTGAACTGTTGTTTAGATTTGTAGCGATAAAATAACAATGGAAGTATTCTTGTACTCATTACTATATACCAGATAGACGTACACTTCTTTGCAAGTACACTTCTGCGTCTTTTATACATAACTTAAAGCTTGATATTGGTTGAATATAAAGAGGTGACGGCTTAGTACTACTTTGTTTTGCATTTAAAGTAATCGAAAAAGAGACCGCGTTCGTTGCTCTGATAGGTTGGTTTATTGAATTCGGCCAATCAGACCACCGAACGCGGTTTCGTTTCGATTACTTGATACACGAAGATGGGACTCAGTCGAGCTCTAAAGGAGACTGGAGAGATCTACGTCCAGCAGTGGACGGTAATAGCCTGATTATAACTGTGATGATGATGACTACGATGATGGTGAAAAACAAACCAAATTCTAAAGTTCTGCCATGGTTTCATGAGTTTAATGTGAAAGCCTTACTTATTTACTTACTGCAAAATAGATAAAGTGATTGTGGTAAAATCGTAGGTATTTGAGGATGAGGAAAAACGTATCTTATCATCAATAGATGTTTATTTGCGTCGAAAGTCCACGCAAACAAAGCCATGATACAAAGTACGTAGTTACTTTATTAATGCCTACCTATAATGACTTATCCCTTACGTACCTACGCGAGTTAAAAATATTACCAAAAGTCTAAAAATAATCACTATGACTCAACGATAAAAACATTGACTTACAACTTAGATAGATATCGCTATTTTTACACAAAAACATCGAATCAGGTTATCTAATGAATAAGCAAACAATATATAAAATGTCCCTGAAATTATCAATATTGTGATATTTGTACTTAATATCGAATATTCTACAATCTACACGGAAGTTTGTTCTAGAACTGCGTCGTTTGTGAAATATAAGGATTTATCTCTAATGAAATTTTAAAAACAAAATGCCTTGTTTGGTTTGTCTATGATTTCCTATATTGCCCAATTAGTTGCAGACTAAGTTTTGCGAGATTCAAAACTCCCTACAATAAATGTGCCGGTAATTTTTCGTGTTGTAAATACATAAACTGTTTGTAAAATGTTTGAAAAGTGTTCGTAATTATGGTGAAATAACGGTAGATTTCACGGAAAAGTTACGTACATTTAAATATTTTCCTTTTGCTGAAAAAAAAGGCAAAGAAATACTTATTAAAGTTAAAATATAATTCATCTTGAAGTCTTAAAGACTTCTAAAAAAAAATCTAGGCTGTGAAAACCATGAAACATAAGCAAAACACATTTATCTTCAACTTATTTGTCAGCCATAATAATCTCGTAGCAATCAAGACTCGTGCACAAAATCAACAGGTAAGGTTCTTGTAAAAAAAAAACAAAAAAGAACGTGGTTGTCGGGTCACCTTGTCATTAATATCGTATTTTATGTTCATTGCGGAGTACAACTATAGTACAGACATGAGCCTATCGATCTACCTCTTTTTGTAAAATTCCTTTATTAGACTTTCGCCTTAATCCTTTTGATATAAAGTCGAAAATCCAATGAAAGAATAGACAGTACGGAGTAGGTTGAGTTGCTGGCGTTTGTACAAACGTACACCTTACCTACGCTACGTTGATGATTCATCCAACTTCAGAGAACTGCTAACTCGGAGAGAATTCACTCTCGATCCACATCCGGTCACGTGCTTTCAAAGAGTATGGCCTTCTAGAAAAAAAAGGTTTTATTAAAAAAATACGACCTCCTTGAATCTTGTAGGGCGTTCGAGTAGTTTTAGTGTTTTTGTAGTTTTTAAGGTCGTCAGTTATTAAATGTAAGGTTTGGTGTGAGTGTGAGGATAATCTTATTGTTTTTTTAATTTACCTTTTTAGAAAAACCCAGTTCGGTAGTTGTTAGGAATGTTTTACTCACCTATAAATTATTTTAGACACAATATACTTAAATGTTTATGTTAAGGAAAATTAATTTTCGTTTACGTAAGCATATGTATTTTCAATGCATTTTAATATGTGACCTATTTTTGACAGTACCCATAATGCCAAGTAAGCACAATTCAATACAACACTCCTTATAAGACTCACCACAACCATAAAATATGTACTACGTAAAACACACAAGTAGTACAATTTTCATTCATAATTTAATTTGGAAATGAACATGCTGACTAATGGTTATAAATAATTTGTGCGACAGTCAATCACGGAGTTGCCAATTTCAGTTTCAGCAAAGTATTTAAGTTTTACAAAGGATCTAACAAAGATTTCAGGAGACTACTGAATGCAGGCGATTCCATCTGGCCAATCTACATAGAAACTTACGTTCAGAAAATGATGGTATGTGGTTTAGTGATGAAAGGCATTCATTACTCTACTAAGAACAGATACTACTAAATAATATAACTGACTAAAACCGGCTCGTTGGTCGAGTGGTCGCAAGTGCGACTGCCGGGCAAGGGGTCTCGGGTTCGATTCCCGGGTCGGGCAAAGTATTACTAGGTTTTAAAAAAAATCTCATTAGTAGCACGGAGTCTCGAATTGTGCCCGGTATATGGCAATAGGCTCACTCCCTATTACATGGGACTCATAACATAAATAGTCAAAAGTTGGTGTTACATTGTACAGTGACATAATGTGCACCTCTGCCTACCCCTTCAGGGACAAAAGGCGTGATGTTATGTTATGTTGACTTAAACCGGTTAAATGGTGTGCTACGTGCTGTTGCGTTATGTAATAAAGTAACGTTTACTTTATCTTCTGTAATATAACAGTTAGTTCCAAGAAACGAGTGGTACGGTCAAACAACGATATCTCAAGTCTAAATAGTCTATTACTTGTTTACTTTTTTATCAATAAACCGAGTTTTATAACCCTTATAAGTGTTGTAATACTTATCATTTTACTGACGGTGCCGACGTTTTATGGTGCGTTTACATAGTTCGATATAAAATATTAAAATTGTCATTTCTTGGTAAAGACTTTGTGGAATAAGTAGTCCATTATTATGCTTGGCGTACGGCAAATATGAGACAAATATGAGTTGAACAAATACATACATACATACATAACTTCACGCCTGTCTCCCATGGGGGTAGGCAGAGACTAAGGAACGCCAATTATTACGATTCTTACATACCTCTTTCGCTTCAATAACAGTCATCAATCTTTTCATGCATGCTCGTCGGTTAAGGGTACTTTTAATTTAGCCCTTCTTTAATGTATCGCCAATCTGGTCACTATATGTCCGTCTAGGGCGCCCTCTACCGACGGCCCCATTCATATCCGCTTTGTATACTTCTTTCGTTACTCTACTTTCATCCATCCTTTCTACATGTCCAAACCAGCGTAACATTCCCTTTTCTATCCTTGTCACTACATCATCTTTCAATCCACACCTTTCTCTAATAACACTATTTTTCACTCGATCACTCAATTTTAGTCCATTTTAGTTTTGAACAAATCTATAGGGTTATTAAGTATAATATTTGCATACTTGGAGATTTCGACAAGTTTTGTTTGGTTCATTGTAAAAATATGCAATTATGAAATCAATGTTATGTAATTTTACAACTACTATATTTACTACTACTAGCAGATTAAGGCCCCTGATGGATGGGTTATTGAAAATTAGTCGTTAGAGGATAAACATCGGTGGATTTTAAAGCAGTCTGTAGAAAAAATATAAGTGCCACAGATAACTAAATTGCATCCTCAATGAAGTCTAGATTCCTACCATAACACTTTAATTACATCAATGTCTGTGTTTGGGAGCCTGAGAAGATATTGTATAAGGTAGACTTCAATTATTTTCCTTACATTATTACGTATTATTATGGATATAATTGTAACTATATATTGACTTTTGCAATACTGTAAATTACACTAGTTATAACATGTGGCTTCACTGGTAATTTATTTAAAAAATCGTTAAAGTCGAATTTTACTAATCTACTGTAGCGGTTTGAGCAAGGCATATACAAAAGTAGAGGAAAAGTAGGTTCACCGTTTGGTAACCAAATTGAACCTACTGCCAATAGAAGATGTAACCTAAATTCAGAAGTCAAATGAACTACTGAAGCTATCTTTCAATAAAATTTTATCACAATTAACCGAGCAGTTAAGCAGTAAGAAACGTAACAGACCGACCAACAAACAGACTTGCTTTCGTATTCCATAATATTGTAGCACACACCTGCGTATTCCATTCATGCGGGGAAACAACTTGCCTTGTGAGGCACTATAGCTGCGCACGCACATGGTACACACAGTTGGTATTTACTTAATTGTGTGTCAACTGTATTGTCTGTACTTTGTATTAAATAACTTTGTTTAATGTGTTGATGGACCTTATTATATGACTAGAATACAAGTAAACTATGGCTGAATATAAACTCCAAATATTCTTCCTTCAAAAACGAAGTGGGAGGATTAAGAATAATTTGTCGATGGATTCAAGTGCAGGATTAATTCCAGTTTTCTCGAACCGTAAATTAGTTTCTGTCTCTTCAGCCACACACCAGACAGATAAGTACAGATTTACAAGACAATTACTATTTCTGATATGACAGTCACATGAGGCCAGTACAAGTATCTATAACATAAACATTAAAAACAAAGAATACTCGTAGGCAACACTAACTATGCAAAGCATAAAAAGAAGAGTAACCTAACATTGACTTGCACCTATAAATACATGAAGTGCATTGAATTAATCACCAACGTTCTGCCTTGTGGTTCCACGTTTACCTTCACTGAACACCTATAATTTGTCCTTATTCGTATCCTAGAACAATCGTGAGAAATGA